GGTTGAACCGATCAAACCGGGAACCGGACCTGAAAACGGTTCAATGACCGGTCCGGTTTTGAAAACATTGCCATTGAGGTTACCTGGAGTTATCTTAAATTAGTCTTACTAAAACCTAAATCCTAATTAGTAAAGGCCTTAAGGATATAAACTATAAATTTTAAATATTAAATGTTAAGGGTGGAATTATTATTACACTTTAAATAATTAATGTTTCACATTTTTAGTTTGACCGCTTCTTATACCTTTAAACTATATTTTTTCTTAAAATTATACATTTTCTTTATTTTTTAAATAAATTAAATCATATAACATTCAATTAAGATAACAACATATAGCATAGCCTAACAAACATTTAATATATATCAAACTCTAATTTGAAGAATACTACTAAACATTAATAGCTAAAAAATTGAAGCACTAAAATAAAATTCAAATTATTAAGTTTCTTTATGTAATGTGAACACATACATAGTTTCCAACAACCTATTCTTTGTCATATTTGCTTGGATTAGATAATGGTTTTTATTTTAAATTTATTATTTTTTAAACTAATTACAAATTTAGAGGTGAGGTCAGGAGATTTGAATCTTAATCATGAGGTTAGGGGATATACTTTACAATGTGGCATATAGTCATGGAAACTAGGCACAAATGCTTATTATTAGACTTCTCTACACTAATTTTTTTGTACAACTCAAAATAATTTTTTTAATAGTATATTTGATTTGAAAAAAAAAAAAGATGAGATAAGAAAAATATCTTTTGTTTGATTAAAAAATTAAAAAAATAAAAGAGGAAAGAGAAATCATTTTCACTATTTTGTCTTTTAATTTGTTGTTTATTTAAAAAAAGTAAAAAAAAAAGGAGTGAAATAAAAAAAAAAAACTAACATTATTCTATTCATCTCTCTTTTATTTTTATTTTTTTGCTTTTCTGGTACTAAACACATTACAAATGATTTTGAAAGCAGGTCCACATCATGACTTCACTAAGGGAATTAAACAACGACGGGTGACTAATTTTCTTGTGTGTTGTAGTGGTTTACTGATGACCGAATGAAAAAAAAAGTGTTCGACCACTTAAAATCTAGATTCTGTAGCCAATTCTTTCTCCGAAATTTCCTGCTATCAAAAAAATAAAAATTCCTTGTACCTTGCGCATCATGAACCCGACCCCGCATCAGGACTAATTCTCTAAATGTCAGTACCAACACTTTACTAGTCTCCTGGAATATAAATAATATCCCAGGACCTTCCAAGACTTCTCAAAAGCAATAACCACCGCATCGTACTAATTCCCTTGAATATAAATAGTTTCCCAGGACTTATCAAGTGTAATAACCACATCATGACTAATTTTCTTATATGTACTCCTTTTATATTAAAATTATTATTATTAATATTATTTAATTTTAAATTAATTATTATTTTTTATTTTTTAAAATAAATAA